GCCCTGAAAACAGCTGAAACAAACTTCCAAACATCATCTGGCCAAGTGTGTATCCTCACAGTATAAGTTCCATAAGGGCTTTTAGGAGTTCACTCACCGTTTTCTAGATATAAATGTGATGCAGACCTTTATAATAAAATGCACTAGTGCTTTTATATAGAATATTAGGGCTAGCATTTTCAAACTCATCTGGGGAAAAAAGAATGAACATCTGATTGTACATACTGGGGAAGAGGCATCGTATGAGACAACAGAAGGTTGTTTCAGGATATCCTATCAGCATTTGGAATAAAAGCAGTTAGCCATTGATCCCAACAGTATGCACTGAATTGCAAAAAGGAAGAAAAGCACAAAGCCTACCCTCTCTTCAGGAAAAGCCTGTTCCAAGTTGTTACTGATACGCTTCCACTGAAACTGGAGAAGGTACAGTATTGCAACAACAGAAATCTGCCTTTTAGATCAAAATGCCTTTACCACGGCTTTTAAATGCAGGTCACCTTCTCTCTTTTTAGACAGATCTCTCACTGGTAATCAGAAGCAATGGAACTGGTACATAGAGATTCATGAACAGCCAAGTAAATGGTTTTGGGACATTTCGACAATTTAAAATTTTCAACACTTGTCTGAGGCAATTAGTTTGGATCTCTGTATTTCCACATATTGACAAAAAGTACACAGCAGTCCTTAATGTCCTATTTTTTAACACCTAACGATGACTTCCGTTGCCACTCTAACTTTAGAGAAGGTATATTGTTTTATCAGTGTGGCATGCAGTTAACACTATGCCTTATTATTTTTAGGTAGAATTTGGATTTTCTCTCTAAGCATTACCTCAGTGGTCCCATGTGTCAGTGCTATTTCTCTGATAATTAAGGTAGTCTACAGAACATTACACAAAGCTGAATCAGCTGACTCATTACACTCAGAATTGGCTGCTGCCACCAAGTGCCTTTCATCTACTGACAAACCCAAATGCACGAGAAGCAGACGAGTATTTAAGACATTCCATTAAGACCAAATAAGGGAACTAATACTAGAGAGGGGCAGACACAAAACCCAAACAAACCAAAAAACCAAAACCCAAAATTATTGTCCATGTCTACATCATATAAAAGCCCTGGATAGAAGACAGAACATATGAATTCTGAAAAACCCAGTAGGCAACACAAGTTCTGGTAACTGGATTGACAGAAGGTAAAGAGAGAGCTCTGTGAGCACAATGAAGGCTGGAGACCCAGTCTCGAAATTCCAGGCATGGAAATAGACTTACAATGATGGAATAAAAAGTCAGATTCAATCCCATGAAACTAAGCAGATAAAATAACGTCCTGAAATGATGAATCAAATAAATTGTAACTATTTTATGTTACCTGTAATGCAACGTATTTTTTTCCTCAGAGCAAGAGATGATGTTGCTTCCAGTAATATAAGTACAATGAAAAGATAGCTACTGATAAAGAAATTACACCTCATTTGTGAAAATGCAGCTGACATGACAGCAAATGCAATAATGACGACTCAGTCACACATAAGGACTGTAAAGAGAAATCATACAAAACCAGACACAAGGAAACCAAGCAATTGAGATCAGAAAGCCCGAGGTACAACACTGATCCATGTTCATGCGCAAGTGTGTCTTCTGGTTCTCCTCTAGGCAGATTTTACTGTAATGAGGTAGTATCTGAACATCTGAATCATCTCACCTGACAGACACTAAGTTTCCAACAAGGCACCATTAATGGGTCACTGGTAACTACCCTACTCTAAACATAAACTGATATTTTGTGAGGAGGACCATGAGGATGATCAGGGGACTGGAGCACCTCCCATATGAAGATAGGCTGAGAAAGTTGGGGCTGTACAGCCTGGAGAAGGCTGCGTGGAGACCTCATAGCAGCCTTCCAGTATCTGGAGGGGGCCTATAAGGATGCTCGGGAGGGACTCTTCATTAGGGACTGTAGTGGTAGGACAAGGGGTAATGGGTTAAAACTTAAACAGGGGAAGTTTAGATTGGATATAAGGAGGAAATTCTTTACTGTGAGGGTGGTAAGGCACTGGAATGGATTGGCCAAAGAAGCTGTGAATGCTCCATCCCTAGCAATGTTCAAGGCCAGGTTGGACAGAGCCTTTGGTGACATGGTTAAGTGTGAGGTGTCCCTACCCATGGCAGGGGGGTTGGAGCTAGATGATCTTAAGGTCCCTTCCAACCCTAACTATTCTATGATTCTACAAAACAGTATCAATTATGAAAGTCTCTTTTTTTTTCTGTAGTCTTTCAGCAAGGAAGAACAGTTTTGTAGCTTGGACACATCTGCTCCAAGTACTCTCACATGATTGATTTTATAGTTGTTAGATTTATACAATCTTTGTATGAAGTGGGTTTTGTGCGAGACAACCACTGATCTTTGACTCTTGAGATACAGGCTATCAATTTTTACTCACCCTGGCATTCTCTCCAGCAGCTTTATGTCAACGTATGAGAAGGTTTTCACAGTTGCCAGTTTTGAAGTACAACTGCAGCTTTAAGTTCACCAATTTTTAAAGTGGCAACATAAAAGTGTAATGGGCAGGTCTTAAAGAGCCTTGCTTGCTTCACCTGAACCTACAGCTGACTATGTCAAATCAAGCACTTGATGCAAACAAGAACAAGATCAAACAGCTGCTCTCTAATGAGAACACCTCACATGTTAGACTTCTCAATGACACATCAAAGCTCCAGGAACAGAAACATTTTAAAGCTTTATGCAATTTGACCTAGGCACACTTACAAGAAATGAAGGCTGCACAGTGAAAGCCTAAGAATAGGAGAACCAGTTTTTACTGATACACAGACTAGGAAGTGCTTTTATGAAGAGATAAAATCTGTTCTTGTTCACAATCACTAGCTCTCCTTTGTAGCTTTGACAAGTGCTCCCCATTTATATAAAAGCAGCAAATTGGTACCACATGGGCAGAATGTATTATCTTTAGTGAGCTGCTCCTTTTCTACTTAGGAACTTGTCTTTACTGACTGAGTTAAAACTGCTCATCAACTGATGACATTCACTCCTCAGCTGAAAAGAAGAAAAAACTCCAAAAGCCACCAAGCAATAAAATCAGGTTCTGTATGTTAAAACTACTTTAAACTGGTAATCCATATATGGGAAGGTGTGTCAGCCCAAAGTGGATCTGTAAGAGAGTAAAGATGATTATACCTGAGGCAGTAACTACAACTGTATTTTGCTGCTCCTGGAAATGTTCTCAATTATTCAAACAGCCACCTCCCAGACAAAGTGGTGCCAGAGAACTGATGTGGTTTCTGGCTGGCATAGTTTCATGAAACTAAGCATTTTATCAGGTGGTGAGACTTCTAGATTTTTCAGTGTTTATATATTTGTAATCACACATACACAAACAGTTTACTTGTGGGAAAAGAACAGCTTGAGATGAAAAATTCCCAAACATAGAATCATAGAATAGCTAGGGTTGAAAAGGACCTTAAGATTATCTAATTCCAAACCCCATAGGCAGGGACTCTTCACGCTAGACTGTGTTGCTCAACGCTCTCTCCAACCTGACCTTGAACACTGCCAAGGATGGAGCATTCACAGCTTCCTCAGGCAGCCTATTTCAGCACCTCACCACCCTCACAATAAAGAGCTTCTTCCTTACATCTAACCTGAACCACGCATTTAAGTTCTATCCCATTACCCTTGTCCTACCATTTCAATGATACCTGAAATTCTCCCTTAAAAGTTTGTCAAACTAACATTAAAAACTATGATAATCAGTTTTTGAACTAAGAGAATTAGAGGTTAATCTGTTACCATGTTGCTACTCCTGTTAGTATACAGCTACACCTGCAAGTATACCGCCAAGAAAGGGACAAGGGAGATTCAAAAGAATAGAGTCTCCTTAGCAGTTATCAAAAGCATACATGCTTCATTCTGCAGCCATACCTGTCCCCACTTACACAGTCTTGTTGCTTGAGAACAAAAACATGGGGAGCTATAAGCAACAGGCAAGTTATATCCAAGAAGTCCATTCGTTGGGTAACCCTTAAACCTTGCATAGAGGTAGCCAGCATTTGCTCTCTACATGTTACTTGGCATGCACTTACTCTTCCGCACTACAAAGGCCTGGAAAACACGGCTTAACAGCACTTCCCTGCCTCACAGGCCCAATGCCGGAAGGGTTGCGGGTCCCTCACACACAGCATTACTGGCTAATCTTCTTCCCTATGCTGGCCACTTGGTGGCGTCTCTGAAGGCTGTTATGTTCATCACACACTATATAGCTTTAAGGCAGCAGGCAAAGAGCTACTGTCTCTACCCTCATCACAAGCAGGACAAGCGGGATACAACAGCCCCGCCACTGTGACCAGAACCATACTATCATTACCCAAACACCTCAGCATTCACCCACAGCTGGCGGCAACACGGATCTGAAGCATAACCAGGAACGTGCCACAAACACACAACCAACTAAGGCAGGCCCTTGGATACACAGGCACCCCTAAGGCCAGCGAGATGGTAAGGCCTGGAAGGGCACAGGGAGCTCTGAAACACCCGGGCCGGCTCAGCCTGCCTCCAGCAGGGCTCCCTGCTGCTCGACCGAGCGAGCGAGCAAGCGGGCAGGCGAATGGTCGGCACTATAGACATACACAAACCTTCCCTTCTCGCAGCCACCACCAGGGTGAACAGCAGCGCCACAGCCAATACATAAACCCTCCCGCTTTGCCAGAGGGCAAGGGCGATGCTAGCCAATAGGCAGCGAGAGCAGACACGCAGGGAGGTGGGAAACATGAGAACCCAACTGAGAAACTTTCCAGCTCCCAGAGGGTGTGAGTAAGACTTCAGTCACCGGCAGTGTGCTCTTCCTCCAACCAGAGCGTCTTCCCTCATCCCTCTCCCCAGATTGGTTAACAGATGGCAGGAGGGCCTTAGCACAACCCTTTCCCCAATAGAAAGGTAACGCTGCGTGACAGACGTTCAGATCAGCCAATTACTGCCATCGTGGACCCTCCCCCCCTTTCTCTAGTGCAAAATGGCGGCGACAGCTCCTTCTCCAGCTGCTCCCGCGGCGGCTCCGGCACAGAGTCCGACGACGGCGCCCACCACACCGACAGGAAACGCTCCCCCCCCTGCCGCGCCGCTCCCGCCTGCCACTTCAGCACCGCTGCCGCCGCCGGCCGCGCCGCTGTCGGCTGCGCTCTCGGGCCCGTTCCCCGGCGGCCGCGTGGTGCGGCTGCACCCGGTCGTGCTCGCCTCCATCGTGGACAGCTTCGAGCGGCGCAACGAGGGCGCGGCGCGGGTCATCGGGACGCTGCTGGGTAAGAGCCGCCGACATCTGGGAGAGCAGCCCACCTCCCCCACGGTGCCCCTCTAACCGTGCTGCCCTCCCGCAGGAACTGTGGACAAGCACTCGGTGGAGGTCACTAACTGCTTCTCCGTCCCTCACAACGAGTCCGAAGATGAGGTACGGAGTGCGGGACAGCCCGGGCGGGTGTGGCTGCGGTCTGTACAACCCACCCGAGCTGCGCTGTAGAGCGGGTGGGTCTCTCGGCGATTGTTGGGGAGCCGGGGGTGTGTGGTGCCCATGTGCCGCTCCTCATGGCGGCGTGAGGGTTTATAGCCGTGTTGTCCACCGTTAAGGGTTCAGCATCCCTGTGACCAGCTGACTTGGGCCTGTCCCATTTTTTAGGTGGCAGTCGATATGGAATTTGCCAAAAACATGTATGAGTTGCACAAGAAGGTGTCTCCTAACGAGATCATCTTGGGCTGGTAAGTTCTGCAAGAACATGCAAGCAGTTCTGTTGGTCCCTTAACTAATTGAAATACATCATTCTCCTTGTCACAGGTTGAGAAGCAGAAGCACTAATGCTTGTGACAGTAAGATCTTGCAACTCTTGTTATAGAATCAGTTGTAAAGCTTTTGCAGTTCACAAGAGGAAGAGATGGTATTGGAGATGTACAGGATTTGTTTTTGTATCTATCTACCAAAGATATCAGAGAGGAGTGATGAGTTGAGAATGCCTGCATGGCTTTGCTAGAAGGACTGGTTATAAAGAAAGGAGTACACAGAAGAGTAATTTAGAGTACCAAAGGCCTCAGGAGGAATCAGTGATAACAGCTGGAGCACACAGAGTTCTCTGCTGAGAAAAGGTGGGAGTATGTGTGTGTGGGATGCGAAGCAAGATCAGTATGATGTCAGTGCCTGAGTGTGTGGATGGCTCTATTAGTCTTTTAATGCTCCCCTGTTCCTACAGAATAGCTCAGTTCTGTTCCTGTGGAGTAGACCTTAACCACCTTCTAATGGCACAGAAAAGTGCAGTCCTGATGACAGGAGTTTTCCTGTGAAGCTAATTGCAGAGCAGTTAAAGGAGCTAGATTAACGAGTTGTTCCTCCTGCAGAGAGATGCTTTGTGGAAGATCTACTTGGTTGGTCCAGATTTGTTTGGTATGCTTTGACTTACACAGAATTAAAGAGTTGCTCCAGAACATAATGTCAGATAACTGAATCTTGGGTGTCTGATGTCAACTGTACCAACTCTTTATGTCTGGTACTACAACACTGGTCTTGTGTGTGTTTTTGCCGTGGGTATGCTCATTCTGTAATTCCTACAAACTGCAAATTCCTTAGTTAAAACACTTGTATTTAATATGCTTCTGCAACTCAGTGCTTGGAAATGAGTGGTTTAGGATAAAAACCTGTTGAATACCAACAGTACCAAACACCAGGCACTAGAATGTTGGAAGAATGGCTCATCAGCCTGTGATTTCTTTTGAAGGTATGCAACAGGCCATGACATCACAGAACATTCTGTCCTCATCCATGAATATTACAGCCGGGAAGCACATAATCCAATCCATCTCACTGTGGACACGAGTCTCCAGAATTCACGCATGAGCATTAAAGCCTATGTCAGGTACTCTGGGAGGCTGCATTTCTGGGATGGGAGTTATCTGAATTATTAAAAAGACCACATCAGGGCAATGAGAAACATAATGAGCTGCAGTGTCCCATTTTGAACAATGCTGTGCAGTAGCTAAAACACAGTAGAGATCCAGGGATCAAGTTTACTTCTCATTGGAATGTCCTGACCACTGAGTGTAAGATGAAAGACCTAACCATTCCTACTTCATTGGGGTGGGGAATTGTGACTTCATTAGTAGTGTTCTGAACATCTTTGTGACATTTCACAGGATTCATATAGCTAGTGTTAATGTCACTAACTTCCATGACACTGTCAGAATGCTAGCCTGTAGTTACGGGCTTTACGGCTTGGCAGTTTATTTATGCAGCTTGGAGGATTCGTGTAGTTAAAACAACTGAAACTGCATCTTTCTGATCAGTCTTCATTCCCCCCCAGTCCCTCAAATTTTTATCAATTAATAATGGAGATTAAATATTGAAAAATGAACCTATTCCCCCTCACTGTTCTTCCTAGCACTGGTTGTAGAGCTCTCCTCCTTAAGGAACAAAACCCCAGCCTTTCTTTATAGTGGAAGTCTGCTGCACATCTTCAAAAAGGAAGCTGTTCCATGACATCTTAAAGCATAAATGCACTTCAAATACTTTGAATAACAGGAATAATAAAAGTGTTGAGAGCACTTTGTAATTGTATCTGTCATATTTTTGTTTGTTACTTAAGCGATTTCTCAAAGTGTGGAATATTTCAGGACAGGGGAATACCTGCTCTATAAGCAAAAAGGAACTGTGGCTAAAAAGATAATACTTAGCTCTTCATGCATTCATGCTGACAACATCAGACCAGCTAGGAATATTCTCGTTTGAAAATGAGCAGTTAATAGTACGGCAGACTGATTTTCTGTCCTCGGTTATTCATGGTTTTAGTATTGCTGATTTTGGTAAGAATGAGTAACATATTCATGTTTACACTTCAGTGCTAACAGATATTATTGAGATGGAAATTATTACTTCCTCCCTTAAATATATCCATGCTGAGAACTTTTTGTTGTTCTTTTTTCCCTAGTGCCCCAATGGGAGTCCCTGGTAAAACTATGGGCGTGATGTTCACACCTCTGACAGTGAAGTATGTTTATTATGATACAGAGCGGATAGGAGGTGAATCTTTTCTTCCTATTTTGGCTATAGGCATTGTTGTGACACTGTTTTAATGTTGGGTTTTTTTACCCTGGTAAAATTGCAATTCTGTGAATTCTACTGAAATAAGACTGTCTTGCTGAAGTCCTCAACAAGTTGGTTTCTGTGACAGTTTTTTTACTTTCCCCCTTTTGCTTGCAGTGGATCTTATCATGAAGACTTGTTTTAGCCCTAATCGAGTGATTGGCTTGTCCAGTGACTTACAGCAGGTGGGGTCAGCATCAGCCAGGATTCAGGACACCCTCACCATGGTGCTGCAGTATGCAGAGGATGTGTTGGTAAGGCAAACTTTTTATGAGCCAGCAAATACGTTTCATGTAAGCTTGTGCATCTTGGTTTTCTTTTTCTGTATTGTCTCTCTGGGCCATAAACTTGCTGAGTTTTACTCATGTTGAAGTGTATGTTTCTTACATTTAGTCTGGCAAAGTGGCTGCTGACAACACTGTTGGTCGTTTCCTGATGGATCTCATTAACCAGGTGCCAAAGATTTCACCAGAGGACTTTGAGACAATGTTGAACAGCAATATCAATGTAAGTTCATCATGCAGTTTTTTCAGTTGACAGCAATTCTGAAAATTTGTCATACAGACACAAGTTTGTCTGAGATCAAAACAATCTTTGATTTCATACAAACATGTTAAGATACAACCCTTTTGTGTCAGTAATTTGATGTTTTAAGAGCTGAAGGTGGATAAATCAGTTCACCATAATAATCTTGAAAGCAATTGTGAATGAGAGAGTAAGTTCTAAAGTACTTAGGGATTATACAGGTAATCTGAAAGCCAGCACCAACTCTTTTTAGAGTGACTGTACAATGCAAATTACCAGGCTTAAAGCAGCATGGATTACAAGGATGGACTACAACTGGTGACTTGCCAGCTTCCTTTGCCTGAGCTGAAGTTCTGTCTCCTTGCGTAACATTTAGGACATGAGCAGGGTTTTAGTGTGCTACCTTACTTCTGTAACAGAATTTTAGAAAGCAAAAGCTAAGTTTCTGAATGTGTTGTTCAGCCACAGTCTGCAAGACCGGAACTAATTTTTAATTTTGCTTATACCTTTTGAATTGCCTGGTTAACATGCGTGAACTCGGAGTTAAAATTTCACAGGCAGTTTCATATTCTGGGAGCGTTAAACCCTTCTTCCTGTGAGGGAAGCATTTCTAATAGCCGACTGTAAACTGCTTTACAGGTGCTAAAAATTTAACTCCCTAATAGGCTATCATCTTTGTTAGTATTTCTCATCACTGTGGGTTGTTTTTTTTTTTTCCTCCTCTCAGGACTTGCTGATGGTAACCTACTTGGCAAACCTCACACAGTCACAGATTGCTCTCAATGAAAAACTTCTGAGTTTATAAAGAAAATTGTGCCACCCTACATGTCAAAGAGCCTGAAGAATGGGCAAGAAACACTTTTCTATGTTGTTACAAAATTTCCCCAGATGTTAATTTAATTACCTAGATGACTTGGTTTACATCTTTATTTCCATTGTCCTGAAAAATCCTTACCATGGTTTAGCAAATTCATGGGAACTGCTGCAATTTAGATGAGCCCAGTATTTTTAAACTGATCATGAGTCTTTTGTCACTTGGGTTTATGTACTTGTATAACAAAATACAGCTTTATTGTAATTGAAATAAAAAGTTCCATTGCAATGGCAAGATTGGCTTCTGTCCAGAAGAAAAACTTGTTTCATTCATTATTGTATAATGAATCCACTTTTGAAAGAAAAGGGGGGATAACATGACATCAGGAAAGAAAACCAGAGTGGATGCAACTCAACTTCAATTCTGCAGGCTTTTGCAGGGTGGTTGTTGTTTTTTTTTTCAGCTGTTAAAGCACACTGAAAGTGTGACTTCTTGTGTTGTGCGTAATATGGAGGACTACAGGATATTATGGCCACTGATTTATTAGTGGTGCTATGTATGTGCCCTTCTTCAGCAGGGTACTGACAGAGTATGAGACTGAATTCAGACTTTTAGAAGTCTGTTTAGCTATACTGAGGGGGAAGGTTGGATGATGGATTGTAAGTGTCCCTCTTCTACAACATAATTGTTCCCCCTAATTACTGATGATGATTTCCGATGCCTCACATCTGTTTTGATAAATGAATTTGAAATTTACCAGGATTGGGACTCAGGTTACAGATCTGTAGATCCTATACTGGTTCCAATGTGGAGAATTCCCCTAGTGACTAAATGCTAAGTTCTAATTGCAAGGACAAGGTGCATGAGAACTGAAGGTATAGCAAGGATTCTCACCTCTTTGAAAATGTTATTGGTGAGCATTAAGTAAGTTCAAACTCGGCTCACATTTTTTATGTCTGAATAAAAATCTTTGGTTTCCCTTCTTTAAACTTAATATTCATAACTTGGGCCATTTAAATATTTTGCAGATTTTTAGGTCAAGGTGTTCTTTAAAGTAAGCCTTGAAATAAGTGGAGGGAAAGAGCAAGCAGCAAAGCTGGATAAGTCTTGATTACTACAAAAAAATTTGGGAAGAAAGGATAACATCCTTTCCCTGATCTCTCCTCTGCAGTAAACTCTTGCCATTCCCTGTTAGGAAAACTAAATGTTAGAAGATAATATGCAAGAAGAAAAAATTTAAATGCTGTACAAGTCGAATAGCTATGCTATCTAATAAGCACAAAATGCAAAGCCCTGAAAAGAAAGATTAATTTGTGATCACTGTCACAGAAAATGTATCATAGAATTTGCCAGTCCTTGCAAGTACCTGAAGACTAATTATACATCAGAAGGGACAGAGGTTATGTCTTCCTAGGTAGGTTCACTGCAAAGCAGAGGTGTCAGAAGAAGAGACAGTCCATAGATTTGGTTGTATGTCAGACACCACAATGACAAATGCTTGGAACTGAAATATGAAAAAAAAATAATTGCCTGTTTAGAAACCCTGTATCTGATTCCATCCATTCTGTCCCTTTTTACTGGGTGAACAGGACATTGTGAACCTTACTTTACTGCTGGAAATTTGAATGCCTGATTTCAAATTTCAGTGGCCATTCTTGTGAAGGACAGTATTTCAGACATAAATGTAATGCATCATTTTGCTTAATTATAAAGCCTGGCTGTACATAGGAGGCATTGCTTCTCTGGAGTTTGAAAGTCTAGACAGGAATTCCTAAAAGTACTTTATGTATGTGAATTGCTCCACTTTATGAAAATCTATCTAAAAACTTGAAGTTCAATAGAAAATCTGGTGGGGAAAGCTTGGGAGTCAAGAAACATCACCAAGGATTTCAAGCTTTAACTTCCTATTGATTTGTAAACCAGAGATTTCTTGGATTAATTAGGGGAGTTTTTCCTTGGGTTTTGTTTGTTCAGGATGCGTTGCTTCAAATAACTTTGATAATAGTCAGGATAGATAGGTCTCTGTGTATGCTTCTATATACAGTGTTTATTATATTTAGACGTATTAGTGCCCTTACTAATACAATTTTTTGTATCCTCGGTGGTATGTTCAGCCTTTTTGTTTTCTTAGATGTCTTCTCTGAATGAGTACAACTATACTGGACATTACTGTATTACATGTTTATTTCTGGCAGTGTGCATGTTTTCCTCGGAAGTATTAGGCTTTAAAATACCTTGTTTAAACGGCTCTGTTAACCACCTCCTAGCACTCAAGTATGTAATTGCTCAAATGATGGGAAGATCTTTCCTTGTATCCTAGCTTAGTTGAGCTCAATATACACAATATTCATGACAGAGTTTACTGTGACAATCGAGTCTCTGATATACTGTGTACTGCAGAAAGCTGCCTTGGACCCTTCCAGACATGTAATCTCAGTCAGCCTCAACAAAGGAATAGAGTTTCAGCAAAACATCTCTTGGCAGTACAAAGTGGCAGTGAAACCTTGTGTTTTTCCACTCAGCATGATGACTTCTGACAACCCGCAGTTAATTAGCATGCAGATGCTACACTTTGCTCTGACATCTTCCTAGTGTAGTAAGACAGTGGTTGCTCCCATCTTTGAGCAAGTGCATGTAAAATCCACAAGCACATGAAAGTACTCAGTGTTATACTATCTTTAATAGAAATGCCACATTAAAAATGTAGGGAGGAGCTGGTAATGCTCGAGTATTTCCTAACTGATAAGTCTCAACAGTAGAAAGGTGGTGTACCACAATGGAAATTGAAGGTACCTGATGGTAATTAGTTTCCCTGTGCTCTGTTGTGTTGCAAGACTTGCAGATGACATTTAGATGATTCTTCAAGAGATGTTAGTGGATAGGCAGTATGCAACAGTCAGGTTTCAGGCTTCCTATGACTGCTATGAGGTATTTAGGATCAATAATGCACAGAACACTCCTGGTGGTGGTTGTGATCAGGATTAGAATATGATCTAAAGGGAGTCCTTGCAGACTGCACTGTGTTACTGTTAGTTTGCCAGTTAAGCTAAAAAGCAATTGGAATTTGATATTCTAAGTGTGTGCAACTAAAGTGTTTATACTATGTGTTTCTCTGCTTAGGGAAACAAGTTTGTGCTAATTTGGTGCGTTTAACAGATACTTCATTGTTGCCATCTTCTCTGGTTCAATAACTACCTTAGAAGGAGTCTCCTGAATCATAAATTCATCTCTTTCCTGTCTCAACCAACTATATCTTAAATTCTACTTTAAATATACCTAAATATAACTCCTTTGTCCTTACTAAAGTTCTTATGTTATGCTCTTTCTGGTATTTATACATAATCTATATATTTATACATAATATATATTTATACATAAGTATTTATACATAATAGGTTTTTATACATAATAGGTAGCCATCGTACTATAGCTTTCATTTTGCTAAGCATGGTAAGCTTTATCTCCTTTCCACTGATGCACTGTTTATGCTTTGATCACTTAGTAGCCCACTTAAAGCTTAATTCCAGTCTTTCTTGAACATGAGTTGGTAAAGACCATACCCACATCAATTATATTACAATTAATATGATAATATATTAATACTTTCCTGTTATAAAGTCCTTGTTTGCCTCTTGGTGTCTGTCATGTAGTGTGATTGAGCTTCCCGATCTCATGTCCCTGCTCTCATTTGCAGCTGAGCTCCAATTTGCCAAGAAAATTATTAATTTAAGCACATGATCTGACATTATGAAACTTTTTAATTAAAAAAGTCTAAATCCATGTATTTCTCCTGGTTTGGATTATACTCAGTATTGTCGACACCTCACAGTTTTGTCAGCAGGTATCAGCAGTTAGCTTATTCCTGACTTTTGTGCCCTAGTCAGTTAAGAAGACTTGGAATTGATCCCAGACCAGCTTAACAGAATTCTTCTACAAGTTCCCTTTTCAACACAGCCTTTGTTCTTTCTTCTAAGTTTTTTATCCTTGCTCATGCTAATTCCTCTCTTCTGTACTTTAACTAATTCTGGGTTCTTGTCAACACTTCTGTGGATGTCCAAGTGGTTTACACTGCATTCCTCATTTAGAATGTATGTAGTGTCAGACTGACCCAGTATGGCCAATGATTGATCTCTGATAAACCATGTGTTCAATTGGGAGCCTTGGAAGTGGAGATAAGAATAATTGTTCTATATGGTGAGAATAACAAACTTTTTATTTTGCAATCTGCAATTTGATACTTAAAAAAAATCCTCACTACCAGAATTACAATTTGCGTTGTAGTTATTGCACTACAATTTTGGTGACTATTTCCATATACTGGGACGAAGGTCACTAAGTTTGCTTTGTTAGCTGAGTCATTTAAGTTTCTTGGCAGAATGCTTAAGTGTGCTGCAAAGAGGAAGTAGTGTTTTGGTGTGTGATTTTCTGAACTTGTGGACATATGCTATCTATATCTGAAATGCATGGGCTTAATTGTAAGGATCAAAAAGCTGATTGTGAAAAATATTGGATGTGCTGCTCTTTTAAGCAGTCTAGCTGAAAATCCTGCTGTTCTCTGCTTTGAGAAAGGGTAAAGCGTCTAATTTTAGTGTGCTTCCACACAGCAGAACTAGAGACCCTGGTGGCAGCTGACTTGTAAGGTTTGTGTGGAACCTTAGCATGACTCATGGGGTAGTGACTCTCACTTGAGCAGCTAACCAAACACGTGGCTCTTCCTGAAGTAAACTGAACTTGCTCTGCTCCCTGTGTACATAGGAGGCTAACTCAACAGTTAACTTTGACTATCTTCATTTTAATTACTGCAGTCACATGATAGTGTAACAGGAAAAGTAAGTTTTAGTGCAAAACTTAGACTTGGGTCACTGCAGTGTCCTGTTGGATTATTATACTTTGACCTATGGTTCAGAGCTGACCAGCTCTTCTTGCTTACCACAAACTATGGGAAGGGGGGGGGCGAGGAGCGTGGGTTGTATGTACACTTGGTTGGCTTTGATTTTGTTTGTTTGTTTGTTTCATGTTTGGTGGGGGTTGTTTATTTTGTTTTGGGTTGTTTTTTTTTTAATGTAACTGTATTGGCTAAAATAGAACATTAAAAGTAATCCTTCGTGTTATTTAAGTGGGAAACAATATTCCAACCATGATACACAGCACAAAGAAGCAGCGATGCTTTAGTGATCTATATCACCAACAATAAATTACTCTGGTAAACAAAAAAAGATTTTTCAGCTCTATTCATAGTACTGTTAGCACAACTATGTAGTTGAAAGCAAAGACCCTCCAGACCAGAATTCTGTCCAGTATCATGTCTTAGCAGAAGATACAAAGATATTACAAAAGAGCAAGTTTCTCTCAACCTCACTAAAGTTGAATTTTCTAATAGTGAAAAGCTGCCTTGAATCTCCATGAGGTTTTAGAAGCTTTCCTGAATGCATTAATTGTAGCTATAGTAACAAGCCAAGTGATTTCCTTAAATATAGGGAGTGAAATTAGATGACCACAATGGTTTCATTCCATGCTTTTAAGAAGTAATTTGAGATATTAACATACAAACATGCAACATATAATAGGCTCTTCAGACTTACGCTGTTTTGCTCAAATGTTTTCTCTTTTTCCACTTGCCAGTGGGGAGAAAAAAGAAAAAAAAAGTTTCTTTCCCAAATACCTCAAATCCAAACAGTCCACTAAATGGAAGAGATAAAGAACTGTGTATTTTATGAAGGTACTTGGTTCCCATGGAAACAGGGATTTAAAGCTATACCCCACTGGAAAAGAAATGTGTATAACAGATGTGAAATAAAGTAGACATACACTCAAAGGGTCAGCTGGAGAACTGTGTGAAGATTACACTCTTAACGCTGTTCCTGATCCATTCTGGGCAAACAAGGGAGAACAAGCCAAATCTTGTTGAAGATAGGTAATTTATTAGGTTCTTTATGTGGCTTTAGGTGCTTTTCGTTTGAAGCAGGCAAGCACAGTAAATTATTTACCCACCTATTTTCTGCTGCCTGCACTTAATGCTGGTTTACAAACAGAACAGTGGCTGTTGTTCCATCTGGAGTTCAAGTGTGGCACCAGGTTAGAGGAAAAAGAAAGTAGTTTGCATTTTAATGATCTCTGAAATGCTAAGATGATTATCATAAAAATAAAAAACCCCTTAGGAAGTTATTTTGAATAATCCCAAGTAACTGGTGCATAATATCATAGGTGGATCCTTCATAAATTCTATCTTGCTGGTCAGAATCTCCTATGGATAAATAATCAGGTAAAGAAAGGACTATTCATATCTAATTTCTGTTCTATGTATAGTATGAATAAATGTTATAATAGGCAGAAATAAAACATGAAATGCACTTCCCACAACTGCATACATATAATTAAGATTTCTTTCTAGAGAAAGGTATGTCGTAGTCAGGACACTCTTACTTTTATGCCCTCTTGGGACCTAGATCCTGATTTGAATAACTACGTAATTGCTCCAGCTCCACTAAAATCTTTTACATACTTCATGTTACATGCTGTTCGGGTGGCTAAGATGACTCTGCTGACTACCTGCCAGCTACTGAATGATGATGTTGTGCTAAAAACTCACATGTAACTGGTAACAGACTCGATTTAGAACTACGTGCATGAACTCCACTGCAGTGGTGTTGCAGGGAAACTGCAGTGTGGACTTCTCCTTTCCTAGGCAGGTGGCTAAGGAATGTCATGGGGTGACGGCTAAGGACTCCTGAGGGATGGCATCGCCTGGCACTTCCCTGACAGCTCTACTGAGAAGTCACTCCACGTTTCTGTAGCACTTCCATTTTTGAACTTACCTTTCAGACGTTTTGAAGAAGAACTGGACATACTGCAGCTTTCCTTCAGCAAAATGGGGCAAACCTGCACGTATAGGAAAGGGGTCCTGGGTTAGTAGGGTGATCACCACCTGGAGCCGCTGCTGGCCCGCCTCGGCCCTGCCGGCACCCGGTAGCGGACGGGAGCGCGGCCCGTGGGCCGGGCCGGGGCGGTCTCGGTAACAGGGGCGGGACGCTGCCGCCTGGCGTCACAGCCTCCAGTTGGCGGTGTCGCTGCGGGAGAGAGGCCGGAGGCTCTGCAGGTTC